CTGGCACTTAACGCGGCTATACCTCCCACCACCTCGCCGGCTTCCCCCTCACCCTCCTCCCTTCCCCCGTCTATCTCTCTCACACACACACACACATACAAAAACAAAATAGAGAAAAGAAAAAGACAAAAAAGCGTGATGAACCTTTAACCTCCCCCCAAGCCACCAACTTCCTCCTAATCCTTATCGACTCCCCCATCTCTCTCTCTCTCTCTCTCTCTCTCTCTCTCTCTCTCTCTCTCACGTCCCACTGCTGACTTTCCCATAACCGTCCTTCCTTACCTCTTCCATTCCTCCATACGTCACTCAACCTCTAAACTACGTTCTGCTTTCTGTCCTCCCTTCACCCTACTTCTCCCTGCCGCCTCCCTTTTCTTCCGGACTCCTCTGGACCTTCTCTTAAGCCTCCATCTGCCCTCCCTCGCCTGGCCACCTGATTCCCCTTCCTTCGCCCAATCTCCTCATGACCCCCTTCCCTCTATCTCCTCCGTCCTACTCCTTCCTCCGCCTGATTTGCACTGACCTCCCCCTTCCCCCAATCTCCTTCCTCCCCTTCCTTCCTTGGCCCGATCTCCACCTGACCTCCTGCTTCCGCCCTACTCTCTGCAGCCTTTCCCCTGCCTACTGGCCTCCTCCGCACCTTCGCTTCAACCTCCCTCTGACCTCCGTCCGCCTGGCCGCCTCATTTCCCTTCGCTCGCCCCCTTCGTTCGCCTCATCTCTGTCTGACCTCCTCCTTCCCTCGATCTCCTCCCTTCCCTTCCTTCCTCAGCCCGATCACCACCTGACCTCCTTCCATTCCTCCCTCTGTCCTACTCCCTACCTCCCCCTTCCTCCCTCAACCGGCCGCCCTTCCTTCGTAATGCCCAACGTAAGAAATACTTCTTTTCCTTTATCTGGTGGACGTAAAAGCGCCATTTGTTATCAAGATCGCTCCATTTCTTTTAAGATCTCAACACTGTTGCACACGCACAAGAAGGAGAGAGGGAAAGCAGGAGAGACAAAAACGCATTTCACCCAACACACTTCCTTCCTCGCACCTTCTTTGTCCTTGTCTGTCTCTTCCACCACCATGTCTTCTGCCTCCTCAAGATCTTCCTCCTCAACATTATCCCTCGGTCTTTTCTTTTTGGAGCGGCCTTATGATTAAGTGCCCTGCGCCAGGTATTTCAGGCTACCGATCTTTCTTTCCATATTTCACTCTCTTCCTCCCCAATCCCTACACACACCACGCTGAGTCAGCTCTCTGTCACGCTTTCCATATTCTCCCTCGGTCTTTTCTGAAGCATACTAACCACTTTCTCATATAAAAAAAAAGGTCGTGGTTTTGTTTTCGTCGTCGTGGTCCAGTTTGTGTCATCTTGCAATTCATGCGCCATTCCGCTGGGGCCCACCTAGCTTTTTCTCCTGTCCTCCAACCTTCCCCCCCCTGCCCAAACCCCCTTCGTTTTCAGAGGCACTTAATACGGCTGAAAGTTTCGAAGGAAGGGGGCTGGGACCGGTGGTTTAACTGGTTCCATCAAAGTTACTGAGTTGACTGGGGGTTAACCAGTTAAACCACAAAAGTTGACTGGGGGTTACCCAGTTAAACCACAAAAGTTGACTGGGGGTTACCCAGTTGAACCACAAAAGTTGACTGGGGGTTACCCAGTTAAACTACAACAGTTGACTGGGGGTTACCCAGTTAAACCACAAAAGGTGACTGGGGGTTAGACATACTCACTAACTGGGTTTTCAATCTCACGGAGACATACTCCGTAACTGGGGTTACCCAGAGGCATACTCAGTAACACTGTCCGATTTGACCCCCCTTAACTGCAAACAGGGGGGGGGAGGATGGAACACAGCACCATAGTGTTGGGGGGGAGAACACAGAACAAGACCATTGTCGGAGCAAAGGGAGGGTATGTTAGTACAATGAGAAGAGGGGCGTAGCAGATTTTGGGTTATGGCTACAAACCTTCGTCGAATCGAACCCTGTTGGGATTCCAAAGGATTTCATCAGTTCGATCATCGCTTCATCATCTGCATCGTCCATCACCGGAGCGTCGACCATCTCCTGATCTAACATGTTTTTCCCATCTTGCGTTCCATTTCTCTCGTCCCTCTCTCCTACCCACTTCTCATCACGATCCACCCTCTCAGTGACCCCACCTCTTCTGTCATTTTCGTTGTCTCTGCCTCTGTCAGGGACACCGCCTTCTCTCTCTCTTTCCCTCTCTCTCCACCTTTCTCGCTCCCTCTCCCTCTCTCGCTCCCATTCCCGTTCTCGTTCTCTTTCCCTCTCCCTCTCCCTCTCTCTCTCCCGCTCTCTCTCCCGCTCCCTCTCTCGCTCTCGTTCTCTCTCCCTCTCCCTCTCCCTCTCCCTCTCGCGTCTATCGTCTCTCCTATCATCCCTCCGATCCTCTCTCCTATCATCTCGCCAGTCATCCCTTCGACCGATAGGTGTCCTGCTCCGTGACCGTGACCGTCTTCGCCTCTCTACTCTTGGCGATCTTGACCTGTGCCTTTTCAGATCCCTGTCCCTATCCCTGTCCCGGTTGTCCAGATCCCGCTCCCGATCACGGTCCCTCTTCCGATCTGCACCAAAGCATTGACAAACAACATTCACCGGGAACGAGTGCGCTTGTTATTGCAATCAGACTCGACTTCAGACTTGCTCACAACATGCACACTTGCGAACCAATGGCAAAACCGAACTCTTTTAACTCACAAACAACAATGAACATGTATTAAACTCAGTCTGAATCAACTGTACAACTTGCGGCTATGGCCGCCGAACACTGTCTCTACCACCAGCCTCACTCTCCCTCACTCTCACATGCATGCACGTACGAGGATCACCCTGAATGTCCACGCTGCACAGACACACACACTCTGTACACCCTGTCTACACCAACAGCTGGGCGGCTATGGCCACCCTCGTCTTCCTCCTCCTAGTGCATGGATCCAGAGACCATTATACCACGAACCAGTCATCCAGATGTCATGGTTACCAATGTACTCGTTACCTTAGACAAAGGTAGAAGAGAGATGTCCCATTCCCATAGACAAAGGTAGAGAAGAGTTCCCTGTCCCCCATAGACAAAGGTAGAGAAGAGATGCGTTGCCGCTGCTTATATTATCAAAAATGTCTGATTTCATCAACTTCCAGTCTCTCAAGTTCATCACAACAGCTCATAAATCAACTCTGTTCATCATCCCATCAATATGGAGACCAGCACAGCAACATCATCATGTCGAAGTACAGCATTACTCAGGTAAGTGACATCTTCTCCTCTCTCTCTCTCTCCTCCTTACTTCTTCCTCTCTCTCACGGGCACATTATCTCTCTTGTCTCATGAAGATCTCGTTCAGAATACACTCACAGATAGAACACCAACTAGTAGGCTAACATCCTATCTCAACAGGGCAGCTATGGCTGCATTCAGCCAGCCAGCGCCCTCACTCTCTTCCTGCGCCACTTCTTGCTTCCAGCGCTGACTTCACCTCCCACTCTAGCGCACAAATGGCCAGCACTTCCACGCCAGTGAGGAATGAGCTTCCAGGAGGCTCACTGCCTCTTTTATAATCTTGGTGAGCAGCTTCAGCCTCTGAATTGGTACTTCGGCCTGGCCCAGATCTGCATTGCATTAGTCCCATCTCTTTTCCCACGAGGTACTGCTTGAATTTGAGGCCATCGGCCTAGCCTTTGGACTGACAGGCCTGAATCTGGACTGCCCTCTAGACTTAAGACAGAACTGGGACACTTTTAGTTAGCTGTACCCACAGCCAGACACAAATCTAAGCGAACAGGCACATTCTCAAAATGAACAGACATTCTGCATTTCCCCCTCAAATGAATGCAAGTTCTTTTACATACATTCTCTTTCTGTAGCTTCGTGTGCAGATGCATGTTGACTGTTCGACAGACCTTTGCTTTCTTTCAGAGATGTGACTTTTGACCCCCAGAGGTGACTTTTCGTTTGTCTACTCGTCTGTTGACTTGCTGGCTGGGTCCCATTCGCATCTGTTCAAAGTGCTTTACCTTTGGACGCTGTATTTTGAACCTTCCACGGGGTTCCCTTTTCACCCCTTTAACGCTGATTCTCTTTTAGAGGGTCTGAATGGGGTATTGACGGGTAAAGGCCCTTTTACTAGCTATGGCCGCCGGTGTGTCTCTCGCTGGTTCGCTATGGCCGCTGTCTTCTTCACAGCCCACTTCTTCTCCGGGCACCTGCAGTCCTCCACGCACAAGATACTAAGGCAGCTCTTCCGCATGGCACACAGGCGAATGAATGAATGGCTGGACGCTGCCTGTTTATTTATACTCCTTTGGAGGTACCCGGACCCTGCCTCCAGACCTGTGGGTGTGGGCCAAAACGTGTGGCCCAGGGAAGGTTCCAGACGTTTGGCCTTCTGGTCCAAAACGTGTGCAACTCTCCGTGTGCTCCAGAACCTTTCCCCCGTGCAGCCCTTACCCAGGTACCTGCTGACTGGACTGCCTACAGGGACCTACTACCTTCTAGAGCCTACAGACTTACAGACAGACTCTACGCCCACAGCAGACTTGAGTAGAGACTTCTAGAACAGACTTTCTTAAGACTACTGGTAACAGACCTGACTGCTAATCTACAGACCTAGGGATCGAGTCCTACTGTCCGACCTACAGACTAGCCTAGGACGTTGGGCAGGTCTAGGGATCGAATCCTACTCAGGTCACTGGGTCTATGTACAGGTACAGGGTAGGTCTAGGGATCGAATCTCACTCATCACACAGGGTCGATGTACAGGATTAGGGCACAGGTCTAGGGATCGAATATCTGTGTCTGCAATGTTGGGTCAACTGGGTGAAACCGTTTCATTATGAGGGAAACCGACACTGTTCGACCAGGCCAGGTATAGGAAAAGCTGTATTAGACCTCGGTAGTGTGGCTAGATGTCCATCCGGATTTTTTGGGTAGGTCCCCTGCATGACCACAGAGGTTGGCTGTTGGTGGACCAACACGAGGAGACCTCGTCGTAACATTTTCCCCAACTTGGTCCAATCTTGTCGGGATGGTCTCCCAGAGACTCTGCTACACCATCCAGGCCCCAAAATCCAGATGGCCACCGGTCCACGCCACCTAAAAAACTGCGTTTGCATTGCAGCAGTGGATTCAATTCAAAAAATACCACCGCTTGAGGAAGGATCACATGCGATAAATACTTAGTTTTGTTTTCTTCAAACTCTCACCGTGCCGCTCAGAGCACAAGCACATGGAGCACACAACTTCTCTCCAGTGTGCCTTGTAGATTGTCGCCACAACAGCCCCTGTTCCACCCACCCAGATGAGTAGATCCAAAATCGAAGTGGCGTTACCTCTGTTGCAGGCAATGAAGCACACTTGAGATGAGTCGATCCAACAATGAAAAGTTTTAGATGAGTCGATCCAACAATGAAAAGTTTTACCTATATAGCAAGCAACATGGATAAGAATAAATCCGTTATATCCCTTTCTTGACTATCAGTACATCGACTTTCTTTGGGGTACCCCTTTTTTTTTCTTTTTCTTTTTTAATACAGCTGTCTTCCCCTCATATGGGGAACAGTTGTAATTTTTACCTATCCTATTTTCTTCTCTCTCGCCTCACATTAACTCCCTGTATCTATGTCCTACCTACAAGCGTTGCTATGTATTCAGGAAACTGTTCGCTTCTACAGGATCTAGGGCTAGGGTCTAAGGCTACCTGAAAGCACCAGTACACCATACATCGGCCCGTGGGTGTCAGCATGAAACCCGCACCACCTCGGAGGCCGCCATTTTTTTTTTCCGAAGGCTCCCCGCGCCGCGCGGCCCCTCTGAGTTTTCCGTGTGGCGACACAAACTCCCTGCAAGGCTGGGGCAGCCTTGTACTTGTTGCGGTTTAAAGTTTCTAACCAGAACTAAGCTATCCTAAGGTTATGGGTCTAGACTCTAGACCTTCCTATCTCTGCTTTGTGCAGGGAGCAGTACGCAAAGCCCAATCACTTCCAACTCCCTTTTTAACCGTGCCTCTCACGGACAAGCCTGGCCGCATCGACTGTGACTTAGCACGAGCTAACCACATCGCCATGTGCCTTAACGGCCCACTTGCATGCTATAAAAGCAGGCAGAGCAAAGGGGGGGAAGTATACTCCTGTTCATTTTTCGTCACATCTTCGGCTTGTATTTTGTCTGTTCTCTTATGATGCTCATTTGTATGCATGTACTAGTAGTACACAAGAGGAGGGAGGAAGGAAAGGGGTAAGGGGTGGAGTTCTATTGGAAGTGAGGGGTGGCAGAGGGAGAATAGAGGGGAGAGAGAGAGAGAAGGGAAGTATCAGAGGGTTTTCAGTACTTAATGCTGGAGCAGAGGTACTCTAGAATGGCATAAGAGGCCAGTCACTGTCTGGGTTGCAGGAGATTTTGAGACGAGGAGTAGGTGCCGTTGGCTATGGTAAGTGGGCACCCCTACAGACCGGACAGGACCAGTTCGGGTGTGGACTGTGAAAGCACCGCATCCAATTCTCGCAGGTGCAGCTGCTGCATTGAATGCCACGGCGTAGACAGATGTAACAGGCTTCGTGGCTCCTACATGCTAGGAACAGAGAGGCACGCCGACTGCAATTGTATAGAGGTATTGCTGTTCCAGCCTCTGTCTACAAATTGGACATGACATGTCTGGGTGCCGTACACGAGTGCAATGTTGACTGTTAGATCATACGTACGAAAACGAACACTTGCATGGGCTATGCGTTCATAATCCTCAAGACAGAAAGCATGCCAATCACATGCTAGCCGAATCTCAGGTGGGCCATCACAGAGCGGCATTGAGCGAGTTCCTTGGGTTTCCGCAGTGATTGTTCCCTCTCTATGGGCAGGCAACCGTGAGGGCTGATCCAGTGTAAGGGTGTTCTGCAACAGACCGCCCTGGCAGCGATAAACTTTCAGTACAGCGCGCTGTAGGTGGTTCATGTGATAGTCTATTTTCCACCTCAGGCTGCTGGGTCTGTTGTTAGTTGGCACCGATAAAGGAGATCTGACTGCAGCTTCAGCAGGTGTATGCCCAACGCCGCATGTGGGACATGCCAGGAGAGGGTGTGGCGGGTGATGGCATCGGGGATAGTCCACGCACTCGAGACACATACTTTCAATGACAGCTTCCGGGAAGCATTGGCGACACATGGCATGTTACTGACATGCCAACAGGAACGCATGGGGACGTTCACAGCTATTTAAGCATCGCATGTGACGGCCACAACAATGGCATACCGGGCAGGTAACGAGGGCGTGGGCGGGACGAGTGCAAGACAATGAGTTGCAGTGTTCACGGCAGAGGATGGCAGTGGCCATCCCTTCATGCTAAGTTCATAGTGTCTGGAGCAGAGATTATGTCGTGTGCATGCTAACCGAACTGTAGCTGTGTGGAGACACAATGACATGGCACAATATGGTTCATAGATCCGGACAACGGGCCAAGGTCATGATCCTCTGCGGAGGCCCCTTCACTATCCCTGGTCAACTCTTTCTGATCTACACAGTCAAGGGACGCTGCCTGGCCAGTGGCCATGCACAAGGGAGGGGGAAGGTTGAGTGTGCGCCGTTAGGCATTAGATGTAACAGTGTGTAATTTGATGAAATAGTTTGTCTAACGTTGTCTTTGTCGTATAATGTGCAGAGGATATGTCCAATCTGACTTGTCGGTATAATTCAGGTCAACCAAACAACCAACCATTCATTAGCGCCACTAATGCTGAGCTGAATGTACAGATTCCGCACCCTTTTCAAAAGCTGCCAGGCTTGGACTATCTGCCTAATCAGGAAAAACGTTATGATAAAGGCCCGAGCCCCGGCTTAAGACGGATGCTTATGGAGACACAGGAAAAACGTTCGAGAAAGCTTTTCTCTCTTCTGAAAGACAAAGGAAAAAGCTTCCAAGTGGCGCAAACCTAGGAAGTCCGTCTTATGCCGCCCACTCGGGTACACTGGGCGGCCAGGCATCACACGCTACGGGGTCTGCCACCCAGGGCACCTGAGTGTGACAAAAGTCAGGTCTTTCGTTTTTTTTGTGTTGGTAGCTAGGCTACCAGCCAGGCGGCCCGGGTCACCTTGTTTGGCCAGGCGGCCCCGCCGTGCAAGGGATAAAGAAGGTCCCAGCAAAATAAAATAATAAAAAAAAAATGTTATGCTGAACTTGTGCAAGAAAATAAACTGAACAACTTTTGCCTCAGGGTCACATCGAAATTCTTCACCAAATTTCAAATAAATATTATTATTATTATTATTATTATAATTATTATTATTATTATTATTATTTTTATTTTTATTTTTTTTTATTTTTTTGCATGCCGGCAAGTGATCCTGCACTCTGGTAGCCTAGGTTGGCAGTGGGACTTTTCCGTGCACACCAAAGGAGGAGCCCAAATCCTGGCTCTTTGCGTATTAATTGGTCTTGAAGGGGCCAACGCCGCTAAAGAGGTTTAAAGAGGGTACCTTAGTCCGTCTTCGTTACTTTTTTCTTAACCTATCTCCGATTCAGCGAGGAGGTGAGCATCAGCCAAGAGTCATTTTTTGAATTTTTTCCCCGGGATTTTATTTTCATTTTTTTTTACTGCAGATGCGTCGAACCCCACCCGGGGATCATGCCAGGCCACAGGCATCCGGGCGATTCTACGGACACCAGTTCGGTGCCTGGGGGAAAAAAACTAAAAATGCAAGTAACAAACAAGAAAAGAAAATCAACAAA